TATATGAAAAACACAGAAAGATACATTTAAATGAACAAAACCTTATTTTACAACTAAGTAAAATATGTTGATATTTTCATGCTGGAATATATGTGTGCATATATATATATATATATATATATATATATATATACATACTTTTTTATTTTAGGATATTACATCGAAAACATGTAAAAATTGCTACACAATTGCAGTCAGGTTTTTGATGCACATACAATGCGTGTCATCAGGTGATTGTAAATTACTGGTAAGTGAATGATTTAATCAGATTTAAAAGCGAATGTGCATTGAAAGACAACTGCAATTGTGTAGTGATTTTGACGTTTTCGATGTAATATCCTAAAATAAAGAATATTGCTCTACTTTGTATTGAGCCCTCTTTTAAATTAAATGTTACAAACATTGTAACTGTACTCCATTTGTTCTTATCTTACTTGGATATATATATATATATATATATATATATATATATATATATATATATATATATCCATGTGTATGTATGTATGTGTGTATACAGAAATAAATCAAGAAATGATTCTTTGTTAGTAAATGTGAAGAAATTTTTTTAATTTTCTTCATATGCTTTGTTAGGTATCAGATAAATATGGACGTAAATGCTCTCTTGAACACTTGAGATAAAGAAGCAAGTGATCATTGAGAGAAACTATACTGCATCTTGTGACAGTATGGCAACAAACAGAAAAAGAAAGAAAACAAAAAATAGAGAGAGAGAGAGACAGCGAGAGAAAGAAACCTTTGTCATTAATTAGCCATTCATGCAGATGAAAAGATTATGTTTCAACAGTAAAAGAAACACAATAGACAGTAAAAAAAAAACAGATTCACAGAGAGAAACAGAAAGAAAAGTATAGAATTAATTAATGTAACCATGCATAAGCAATTACCTTGTGGGTTCAGATCCTGACTTATAGGCTCGTTTCTTGCCCAGCCTTTCAAGACGTTCTTGTGCTTTGATCACAGGTCTGATTATACTCTTCCTCCGCTTAGCATATATAGCCAACTGCTGTTCTCTCCTGTAGATGCACAGCAACAGGTATAATAACAAACGGGCAAAAATAGCTTGCCATAAAAGACTTAAAACTAAATATACTTTATGTCCACTCTCTCTTTAACTAACTAGAAGGATTCACACTTGAGACAGACATTGCAAAGTGGAATTGGTTCCTTCAAGATTTTCAAGCTGATGTTTTATGCAGATGTCCATTATAGTAGAAAGGCAAAAGACTCTAATACCCTGTGTGTTTGAAGATTACTGAGAGTTTTCTGATAACATACATCTGAACAATAAACTTATTGTTCATTAGATTATATTACAGTTGCTATTCATATAATATCTGTAATATTATCTATCTTTAGTTGCAATAAAATTGGTTCACCATGACCAATTCTGAACAGAAATTTTCAATAATCATTAAAAATAGATTACATTTTTAAAATATGTATAGCTAACAACCCCCCACCTCCCCCAAAAAACATAGGAAAAGAAAATTATTATTATTTGTCTTTTTTTTAATTTCTGCAGAATTCTGTTAGAATACTGAAAATGATTTTGTATGAAGAAATGGTTTTGGTAATGAGAAAAAAAATCTATGTGTCATTTAGACTAATAGTGAAGTGAAGTGAATACTTCTAATTTAGCTAAAGTGGTGAACACTAAGTATTAAGTGATTAGTGCACAACAGCAAATAATAAATGAATTAAATCAATTTTCATATTTGGATCAAAGCATATAATAAAAATATTAGAGGAATTGTTACAATTAAAGATTCTTTAGTACTTGCAAGATGAAGGATCATTGTTTATTTATTGTCTATAAATTTTAAAAAAAAGGCATTAAAATTCTGATTTTTGTTGAGACAATTGAATGCTCCCTTTGTGTGCTTGAATTACAACATTTCAGCAGGTCTATTCTTCAGCCTTTGTGCATTTTTCATTGCTGAAATGGTTATATGGTTAGTATGTTAGTAACCATTTTTGTTATTTTATAAAGAAATAAGATTTTTTCCCTCTTTTCTTACAGATTATACATTTTGTGAAGGCTGAAGAATAAATCAACCCAAATGTTTTTGTACCAATATCAAGAACATGAAAGTATTTCAACCATCCAAACAAAATTTGGAAGGATAAAAGGTAATTTATGGTCAAATTTAATTCATATCGTGACAATAAGTATTTGTTGTTTCTGTTTAATCTGTTTTGTTTATTCCATTTTTATGTGAAAGTGAAAAGAATTACTTGATGGTGGAACAAAAAACCCATACAAGCTCCCCTGATGATAATACTGGATTATAACTATAATAATAAAATTTAATTTTGATACAGTTGTTAAATATTTGTCATTTAACAATGGAAAAATGTGACACATGGCCAGATTTTTCAGTAGCAGTATCTGTATACCCACCCAATACAGCAAAAGACCCAAGGTGTCATTTTATAGTAGAATATCCCAAAATTGCTTGACCTTAACTCTCTTAGTAAGATGGGGAGATTCTATCTGAAGGGACAAATTCCTGTTTACCAGACAACAAATAGCTTGTCTCATTCAATCACTGAGACAAGAAAGACAGGAAAAGTCACCAGTTTTACTTATATAGGTCATATAGTGCAACATATTAGCTGCATGGAAAAGTTCCCTGACCTTCTCTTTTGAAAAAAACTAGAGACTGAATATCCAGTAGAAAATTTATTTTTTTAATACAAAATACATTGGAAACTTTTGCACAGATCTAAAACAATTTCCATTTGAATGTGTAGTAATTTAGAGTAGAAATAGAAAAGATTTAGTCTTGTTTATATCCTTATATGTCACTAATTTAGAGGTCTGCCAAACAAGCAACAAAGCCATCAGGCCCTCTGATAGGTACATCAAATCAGAAACTGAAATGGTATCACTAGATCAGACAGACTTCCAATGACAACCCTGCAGCATGTCATACCTGGAAACAGGAAGAGAGACCGACAAAGGAAGAGGTAGGAAGACAAGCACAGAATGTGGACAAATCTGAGCATCATTAAGTGACAGGGATGTTTGGAAAGAGCTTGTCTATTGTAAATCCTTTGTGATTTACCAATGACACTGAAGTGGAATAGGTAAAGCTAAAAGCATCTGTGCACATACAGATTTCAATGTGTTAAAACCAGAAACAACCAAATGTGAATAAAGTTGTTAAAACTTTTGCTGCAACCAAAGAAACTGTTGGCAATGAGTTTAATAGCATCAAAAAACTATTTTTTTATAGTTTAAACCTGATTTTCATTGAAAGAAAATTTCAATGTTAATAAAATAGACAATATCAACATTTCCTTTAGTCTACTGAGCAACACTGAAAAGCAAATATGAATAAACAAAGCAAATATCTCTGAAATAAAAATTTTAGTGCAAAAATATCAGTGAAATGCAGTTATACAATTTTCTTTTACTATCAATTTATTACTTTTACTTATTTTTAACATCTTTTAAATTATTTATTTTTAACATTTTTAAATTACTTATTTTTAACATCTTTTAAATTTTAAATTATTTATTTTTAACATCTTTTAAATTATTTATTCTTAACATCTTTTAAATTATTTATTCTTAACATTTTTAAAGGAGTGAGCAAAAGTTTGCAATTTTAAAAAGAGCACTGGACCCTTTTCACATATGTATTGCATAATCTATAAAAGTGGATCAGTAAGTCTTCAGGCTCATATGTACCTATTTGAATTTTGATCTGAAATTTTACATGTACAAAGTTTGATAAATGCATTGGCAAAGAAGGAGATTATGCTAAAAATCAAATATTTGTCATTATTATATGCTTTGGTATTCAGGCTGACAGGCTCAGCTAGGTTGTTATAATTACAACATTTTCATTGTCATACTATCTGGCCTTTATCAGGTGTTTGCATCTAATAGTCTTCTTGGAATTTTGAAGTAAACACTTTATTCAGTCCACAGGAGTTTGACTGTTCCATACTTAGATAATTCCCATCATGTAAGGTTGTTGTTTCATATTCCCCAATTTGTTGACAAAAAATATCCAGTTTGAAAATTTCAAATAGTTTGAGAAAAATAAAACAATATAAAATAGATACATAAACAACCCTGCCATAATTATATTGCTATATAAATAGTGTACACTGGTATAAAATATTACAATAGTTTACATGGATACGATATTGATATTTTAATTGATAATATGGTATAACTAAAAAAAATTATATAGTGATGGCTGTAGGGTCCTATTATACTCAAAGATATAATTTATTCCTGTTTTTACCTTCTGAAACATAGGGTTGTATTATATATATAATATGGCAAATAGATTGCTGCCTAAATTTAAAGCCCAAATGCTTCTATTAAATCAACTTAAATAGAAGATAAATTGATTTCTGTCAAAGAAGCCATTTAACTACTGTTCATATAGCAAAGAATTAGTATGTATATTTCATCAAGATACTGGGATTTATATATTTGTGTATATTCTAAGTATTGAAATTTATTCATGAAGCATTTCAGAATGATTGAATTAAGTAAAAATATCAATTATCATGGCTTTTTTTTAAATGTGTTCAAATGTTGTATGCATACTTCTTTTTAACAGAAAGATTTAATTTTTCAATTTGTTTTTCTCCTAAAATTTATTACAGAATGTGCATTGCAAAAAGTTTAATCAAAATCAGAAATGTAGATACATTCATTTATTCTTATATTACAATTGTATTACTTGTCATAAATCTGCATAGAATACATTTTTTGATCATTCTTTTTAATAGATTAAAATTTTTATTTCATGGTTCCTTTATTAACTTTTAACTTGTTTTTTTTCTAAAAAAAAATAATAATAATAATTTATAGCTGTTTGTATATTACAAAATATTTTTTAAAATGCTTTTTTTTAAATCATTTGAATTATTTTATAAGGCTTTAATGATAATTTTCATAACAAATGATGACTTTAATACCATTAATTTTTACCAATACCTTTAGTTTTTTTTTTACTTAAAAATTTTCTATGCAAAGGTTTTTGCCTAAAAGGTGAAAAAATATAATTAAATAAAAAAACAAAGCATAAAGAAAATTGCAGAAGGTACATTACAAAATATTTAGTCAAAACAAGGTGTGTAGACATGCATACATACATTCTTATATTGTATGAATTGTAGTAACACTAATCAGATGAAAACCTTTCTATTAGTAATTATTTTACCCATTGTACCCAACAGAAGACATTTTTAAAACAAAATGAACAAAGAATAACATTTTACCTTCTCTGAAATATTTGTGCACACAAAATGTATTTAAAGTAACTCTTGTAATCTTCAATATAAAAATTAAAATGTTTCTGTTCTTTTCTTGAAAGAGAAATTAGAAAAAATATTGTTTAGAGAGAAAGAGAGAGAGTTACTAATAATATTTCTAATATTTCGAATAATTTCTAGGCCTTAAGTTGTCCAAATTTCTTACATTGTTAATTTTACATGAGTTTATCTTTCATCTTATTTTTGTTGTTTTTTTTATCATAATACTCATTCTATAACCTATCAAGTAAACAACATGCATCAGAAAACAAGGAAGTAACCTACAACAAGATCTGTATTTATATCCCTTAACATTAGGAGCCTGTCTTGTATTAACGATGCCTTATCAATTCAGTCATGGAGAATTGTTAGCAGTCTGAAACCAAATTTAGTCATATAGCCATATTCTTCCTTATCTTATTTCCCTCCACGTTTTTTTTTTAGATCATGCCTAACAGTAGGGGACATGATGAGTGCAAGTTGTCCAAGTTTCTTGGATCAATATTTCCAAATTTTTCAAACCTTGATACCTTTATGTCACCAAGAAAAAATTTTATGCACTAAGTTAGAAAATACTGAACAATTGTGAACTGAGCAGCACTAAAAAACAGCAACTAGATGCGATATCCCTAGAAATTGGCAGTGGAATGAGAACAGTCTACCCTTGTAAATTAAATAAAGGGTTCAGTTCATAATACCCTGTAGGTTACTGGGAGTGCCTTACACCTGATGAAGGTTGGAGGCCACAACAGCCAAACATTAGAGTAACAACAAAGATGAGGACAATAGTCCATACGTAATCCACATGTGTAAATGATGATAACTCCTCATCCCAGAAACTCAGACAGAAATTGCATTCATATTCATGGATTTAGGTTTATTAAAATTAGAAAATAATGAATAAATTTAAATCTTGTAATTTAAATTGATAAAAAGTAATGTTTCCTCTTTTAAGAATCATGATTACAATTAGGTGAAATTTTCTTCACTATTACAAAGCTCTATGAACTGTATATCATGTCAAAAGTCCTGTCAACCATTAGGGTCAGAGGTGCACCATAGTACTGCAACTATAACAGTAGTGGAGTATCTAGGGCAAGTTAGCCTGATGGAGCCCATCCCTCTTCAGGCTGATTTTTGAATTCAGTTTTCCTTCTCTTAGACTGGTTGCCACATCAAGGCAAGAAACCCCAGTCAACTTTACTATTTAACCCATAACTGAGGAGAAGCAGGATTTATATCTTTCCCAAGGATGAATGTAACAAGCAAAATTTGAACTCTGGTTGCTGATTTCTTTTCTGCTGAGTCACTAACAATTACACAATCTGCAAAGCAATATGAATTGTACAGAAAATCCAATTATCATCCTTACAGCTGTCCATGTTTAGCCGCAACCCAAGTTCCCTCTTTTTTATTCAGTTGATCAATAGGGTCTGTTGATTTCTGTGACTATTAAGATTGTGTGATAAAAGCATCTTTTAAAGCAGTTTCTCTGCAGATTAACCAATTATAATGTTTACCATATCTACAACAGCTGGTAAAATCAGATCTGCTACCATATGAGACATATTATATGAACAATCCAAAATGTAAACCTTGTTAATCAACTGAATGCCATCTAGTGTTGAAATGGTGAACGGCAACATCAGATAGATAGAGTGATCTGAAATGTGCCAGTTAGATGTTGGTTGTGACCCTGGGAGTTAACCATAACACCCTGATGGCACTACAGTGCATGATTTAGAAAATGCTGTTTCAGATGAAGCATTTACATTATTGTTAATTTTAAACTAATTCCTCTTTTATTTTACTTATTTTCTGCTTATTTAACAGTCATAGACCATAAAACAGCCTGAGTGTAATGATGAAGACTAACAAAAATAAGATGAAAGATAAACTAGACTGACATAATAATAATAATAATGAGTATATTCTTATTCAGAATTATCTGAGAGGTTTTCATAAGAAATTTAATAAATATGTTTTACTGAGTAATGAAACTGAAACAAAAATAAGAGATAAAAAAAATATTCATATGAACAACAAAAAAAAATTAAGATAAAATAAAAGTATTACTTGATGAGTTCTCTTTCTCGCTTTTCAAGTTGTAACATGCAAGCAGTAAGTTCCATATATAAATTATTTGCCCGTTCCAGTTTCCGTTCATAATGCTCTCGGACATCCTGGGCATGTCTGAAAGAAAAAGATCAGAAAGTAGTTAATTAGGGTGTAAAGGAAATCATAATTTGGAAATAAGAATAACTAAAAGAGTAAATAAATTAAATAAATGAAGGTGGGTCTTTGTTTATAGCATAGAATCAAAAACATAGCTACTATATTGACATGAAGTGGGCTATCAAGAATATCATTTAATATGAGATGCAAAACTAAAATGAAATAGCTAATGAAGAGTATTGTCATCAATTGAAAGCATTGCTTAATTTTAAAAGCATGTTGCTTTTATACAATAATGCAAGACTGCATATTGCCTGAGTCACTCAAGAAAAGATTATTTTAAGTTAAATATGGAAGTTTTGCTTCATTCTTCTTATTCTCCCATCATTGCTCCATCTGACTATCATCTTTTTAGATCATTGCAACATTTTTTAGCGGAAAAACAGTTTAATTGTAAAAAGCTTAAAATGATATAAATTGTTACTTTGCATCAAAACCTGAAGAATTTTATGCCCAAGTGATCAACAATTTGCTGAATAGATGGAATTATTAACATAGGGAAATATTATCTTGATTAATTAAGACCAAAAAAAGTGTTTGTTTTCCATCTTCAAATGCAACAGCATTTTCTTTTCAACTTAATACTTCAAATAATTTCCTTTTCTTAAAACTTATTTTATTTCATTCATTATTTAAAATTAGTTACACCTGAAAAGTAACAAATATTTAGTGATTTATATGTTGTAAAAGTGTGTATACACTTTTTGAGACACCTTGTATTGATTATCTTGATAACAGAAATTCTTGTGAAGATGTTCCATATTTTGTTTCCTGTCAGTTTAGTCTAAAATGAAAGTGTAACATACAGAGATTATTCCAAGAGTTGTTTGTACTATTGAACTCATTCTTTGTGCAGCTTTTGTTATTACCACCATGTTTCAAACAATCATTTCTATGGAGTAGAATCCATAAAGAAAAAACAGATTTTCTTTTCTTTAGAAATTGGTAGCAAACAGAAAAGAAATACTAACTAATGCAACTCATTCCCAGAGATGTGAGTTGCACAAACAGTTACATTCTAAGTAATCAGTGTAAAACAGGTGATTCTATATTTATATTTAGGATTGCTCTTCAATTCTTTCCCAAGGAAATCAGTCACTATTTTTCTTTTATGTACTCTGTCCTTTCAAGTTATTGGCAATCATAGCTCACCACAACATCCGAACCTTTGTAGCTCTTAACAATAACTTTTTACTATCTGTCCCACTTTTTGTTCTATCATCAATTTACACAAGCTAATTAGGTAGGTTACCCACTTGTCTTCAATATGTCCTGTGAATGTCAAATTTTCCAAGGCTTCCAACTATCTCTTTCTGATTTTAAGTATGTCCTTTTTGTTTCATTTTCCTTAAAACTTGTTGCTCACATGCTTCATCTGTGGCATTCTCAATATCTTTCTATAGGATCCTATCCAATTGATCAGCATTCATTATTTGAGAACTCTTTTGGTATATTAGTTACAATTTCTTTTTTTTAGCATTCTGTTAAGAAGATAGACCTTACTCTTCTTTTTAGGTTATCTAACTGAGTAAGGCTGTAAAATAGATTGGCTAATATGCTAAGGTAACAGACAACCTAAAGAATGTTTGGTTTGTTTGTTTTGTTTTGTGGCATATTAACCTCAATGGGTTATTTAATGCTGACAAGATTTTTATTTCTGGTAATATTTTCTTTTTTCAAATATTTATTGCTGATACTAATTATTTTAAAAGTATTTCTGGTATTAAAATCTATTTTTACACTTTCATAGTGTTTTGAGTCAAGTTGTGGGGTCAACTATTTGCCCATAGCTGGGACCCTAACAGGTACTACCACCCCAGATCAGGGTGGACTTGGGAACACCAGCAATTAAGAGGTGGTTCCACATTTCTCAAAACCTCCTGATCAGAGGCCTTGCTGTTGGACGTAGTTTATAGTCTTACCCAGGACGCGGATGCAGTTTATCGTCATACCCAGGATGCTTACACAAGTTTGGGTGTTAACTATTTGCCCATAGCTGGGACCCTAACAGGTGCTACTGCCACAGGTCAGAGTAGACCTGGGAACACCAGCAATTAAGAGGTGGTTCCACGCTCCTCAAAACCTCCTGATCAGAGGCCTTACTGCTGGACATAGTTTATCACCTTACCCAGGACGCAGATATAGTTTATCATCATACCCAGGATGGCCTAAAGAATGAGTTCAATAATCAAAACCCTTGGAATGATGACTTTTCTCAAAGTTATAGAAGGTATATATAAGAAAATCATCACTGTGTAAGTATAAAGATGAAGAATGAATGAATTTGTTATTTTAAACTGTGATGCTGAGGTTCCATAAGAATATTGTAACTGGACACAAAACAGGGATGAGTGAGATCATCAGTTATATATTTATCAACAAAAATTATCAAAGACATATCTCAAAATAATTTTTTTTAAAAACCTTTCCAGAATGAATTTATTTCTAAATATTAACAGGTAATTTAAACTTAGTTTGTAATCTATACACATACACAAGTTAATCCACTAGACACTATACAAAACTAAAAAGTTTTCAGCTGGATTTCTTAAAATCAGACTAAATAACTAAACATTAGAAATTTTTTGACAGACAAGATGTGGCTTCCCTCTGTCCTTTCTACAAATATTTTCATGGCAACTCCTCTGATGAGCTTTTTTCCCCTGATGCCCTGACTACATGAATTTAAGCATGCTACTAGATTGGCATCTAGGCCCCACCCTTTTTACTTTTGAAATAGTTAAATGTAACTGCCACTTCTACACCAACAGTTTCTTTTCTTACACTTCCTAACAGTGGAACTCCCTCCCACTTATTTGCTTCCCTGATAACTACAGTCTTCAAAAATCTAAATGCAACATCTGTTGACTTGAACCCTATTCATCTCTTATCCTTTCCTCAATTCCCTCTATACACAGTCTTTTCTCTCACGTTTAAACCCCTGAGTACTAGTGGCACTATTGCCTTGCTTGGGGTGAAATGATAAAAAAAAAAGAAACAAGGGTTTCCTGGTTGGGCTATGAATTTTTCAAACCATTTCATATATTTTGCTAGGATTATGTAGATTTTAGGCTATAATCATGATTCCCACCCCACGCAAAAAAAAAAAAAAGCAACAATCTGGTAGGGTCACTTTTACTCATGAATATCTGAATTTGGTCATTTCTATGGAAACCAAATGCAATAAAATATCTATCACATATCTGGCTGGCCATATCTGGACAATCTATCCATAAAGGGTGAAAGGAATTATATTTATTTTACTCATAGCAAATAACATTATTGCTAAGCCATTTGGTTTTGATTTTATTGCTCAACCTAGAATCAGTAGAACCACTGTATAAACAAAAGCTATGAGTAGGGCTCATTTAATTTCATTGGAATATAATTTGTTTTAGCAATTCTTCTATGTGCTGTGTCCCTTTGTAAAGTTTGTCTTTTTATTATATTTCCTAATCCCTGTTCTGCCAAGCATTTACTAAAGCTTGCTGGGCAGTTTTAGCAATAATTGTATAAAAATATCCTTTCTTTACAGACTACATAATATGCTCACAAGTATGATTTCCTCTAAGTAGATATGCATTATACAGCAATACAATATTAAGAAATATCTTTTTAATGATATATCTCTTCTGGATTTAAGTGATCATAGCTCACTACAGTTTTCTTTTTCAATATATGTAAACTGTACATTGTCAGGATTTTTTTAATTTCTCATTGTCTGCTCCATGTTTTTGAATTCAAATTTTTCCTCCTCCTAGACCAGTTGCCAAGCAGGGCTTGAACGTCCACTCTGCCTTGCTATTTAACCCATAAATGGAGAAAAAAAAATGGATTCATGCCTTTACAAAGAACTTCAGTGCAAAGTCAACATAAACTCTCAGCTAGAATTTGAATTTTGCTTGCCTATTCTATTTTCCATGCTCTTAACTGTTAAGCCACCTGTATTTCCTTAATGAATAATAATGTCTCTAATATCCAATAGATTTATTCTTTGTAGCCTTCCACAAACAATAAGAGAATGATAATGGTCCTACAGCAGTGAATCAGTGAATCTATGAATGATGAATTCCAATTTGCTTGTTGGGAGATGAAAGATGAAAAGTAATAGTGTTATATAATTAGATTGTTTTCCACAGCACAAAATGCATGTCCTATGCTGTGAGCATTTTGAGGATTTCGAAAGCAATGTAATTGATGCTTTAGATGATTCAGGTTTTCATTTCTTTCTTCACAAGTCTGGATAATTATTATTCCCAGAACATTGCTACTAACAGTAATAAATTTTAAACAGGAACATATCCAATCCAACTGACTCATGTGTTGGCAGATTTAGGTCTTGATTTTCCAACTGCTGAGTGGCACCAGGGTTAATTCTCAAACATTCTTCTCTGAGTTTCAACCTATGCTGCCTCTGTGACATTTCTCAAATATGAAATATTATACAAATATATATTTAATCAAAATTACCCAACAATTCTCTATCAGATAATATATTAATTTTATAACTCTCCATCAGTCAATATCTGCAATGTGTGTGTCTCATGATATATAATCATTTGTGCATGTTCATGCATATATAATACTCTCTCCTCCATGTGCATTTCTCTCTCTATATATAATATATATATATATATATATATATATATATAATAGCCTCTCCTGTTGTTTTTGATACATGAGGGACAAAAATTTACTTTACTCCATATTTTAGTATTTGTGTCTTCTATGAGGCATTGCTCTGCTTTTGCAAACCACACTGCATCTTTCACACTCAAAATTTTATCCAGAGGCAATATTCTTCCGAATTTGCCTAAGATTACTTATATGCTCAATCCTTGTGTAGATTTGGCATGTTTTTCACCACATACTACAGTCAACAACATACTCCTCAAACTTTGATTGTTGTATTCCAATAGGTTTGATCTTTTATCTTTCAATGTAATTAAGAACAGGTC